TGTGTGTGTGTGTGTGTGTGTGTGTTGGGGGGGAGAGGGCTCACTTTGACTGGAAAGCATAGTCAAATGAATGATCACAGACTTTTATATTTCACTGCCACTTGACTCTACCATTCAGTTTTATATTGTCTTGCTGTGTTGACCCCCTTTTAGGTGTTCAATTAAGGAAAATCCAATTCTCACCAGTTAGACCCATGCTTCCTTTCCCTGTATGTCCTGAGAAAAGGAAAAGTAATGTGTACAAATGGATTTTAAAAAAATAATAAACTTCTGTTCTCTGGGTGTCATGGAAGATTTTTTATTCACCAAGATGGCTTCTCTCCTGCCATGCATTGGTAGGATGCATTTTAAATTTCCTCTAGTTACAGGGACAATCCTATTACCAGATCAGACCAGGAAAGTAAATCCCTCAGTTCCTCCCTGTAACCCCATCCTGCAAAAATGCCATGCAGCGAATACTCCAACTCTGCAAATAAAAAAAAAAGAAAAGACTATCTATAAGGGTTTGGGGGATGGTGGAAAAGTAACCAGACCAAATTAAAAAAAAGGGGGGAGAACAATATCATGTGATATTCATCTCCCAAATTTGCACCAAATAATACATCCCTGATTCAGGAAGAATCATCAGGTAGAGTGCTTGTTTTTTGGGGGGGGGGGGCTTTCTCTTTTGCCTTGTGGAGGGCTTTCCAGAAATCAGGATGCAACAAAAATGATTCTTAAGAGAGGACTACAAGAACTAGGCATTCTATGATATCACTGTTTGTAATACCCTGCATCCGAAATCTGCAGAATTTCTCCAAAGAAAACCAATGTTGTAGGGTTTTTTAAAAGTACACCTAGTCATACACTTGCCAATGTCCTCACTCAGAAAGTTACCTTTAAAAGCATCTACTTATTTAAAAGAGTTTGATGCAGTGGATTTTTCACAGTCTTAGACTGGATGCTTGGGGATGAGAAATTATTGTCAAACAACTTTCTCGGAAGTAATAAATGATGCCTAACTAGTTATAGGTTGATAAAAAAGAATGAAGTATTTTGTGGACATTCAGCTAAATTCTGACCAAAATATTTCTTTTCTTGGTTTTCAGCACAAGCAATTCCAAAATGAAAGTTGATAATATCCAATTTAACCCCAAAATAACTTTTCAAAATGCTTGGAGAAAGGGAAATTCAATAGAACCACCCTTCTATAAAAGTGTTTGAAAGGGGGCTGAGAAGAAACAGACCTCTTTCTTGACATCCTAGGTTGGAAAGGCCCATTGGACTCAAGTATCTAGAATATAGATAGCTTTCCAAAGGTGAGATTCTTCCTTTCTTCTGTATATCACTTGAAAAGAGTTGTTCAAATAATGCTACAGGCCTAGCATTATTTGATTCTAGACATCTTTCTAGATGTCAGCAGTGCTTTATAGGCTCTTTCAGCTCAGTTATAATGCTTTACTTTGGCTGTCAGTAAGATTTTTGGCATGGATAAAAGATTGGACTTTGTGGAAGAAGCTCTTTCTGAGAAGTAGCTTTCAACAGTTTCTTCTTAATCCTCCTTATAAGAATTAAGTACACTTTAGCAAGCAAGGAGGTTGACTCTACTCTCCCCATCTTTCAACTGCCGTGACAGCAGAAAGAGAGAATTTATAGAGGCCAGTGAGCTAATTTTTTTGCTAACCAGCTTGTTCCATGAGTGGGTGTACATATGAACTTTGAAAAAAGAACTTCCTTTTGTGAGTTGCAAAAAGGTCCCAAATTGTCTGACATAAACATGTCATTATCTGTTGAGAAATCTGAATGCTACGTTTCCATTTTGTCTCCTGCATGGATGTTCTGTAAGTCAATCTGCTACTTAGCTTACATTCCCTAATAGCAAGAAAATGATATCCTGCACACTATAATAATTCTGTAGTTTCCTTGTCAAGAGATCCAAATCTTGTTCCACTTGGTTGGCTGACAAAGGCCTTTACCAAGTTATTGTACATCCTAACAAAAATACTTTCTTGCAAAGTTATCTCCAAATTCTTGCAAGACTAATTTCATTAGCCATTTTCAGCCAGTTTATGCTTCTGTTAAGTTCCATTTTGATGCCTGAACCACTCTGTTATTTAAAGACTCCCCATTAGGGTATTATTCATAATAATGATTCCGTCTTGCTCTTCCTGACTCGTCTTTTACCAATTCAACAGTCCAGGAGGAATGGGAATCTGAAGGCAGATCTGGTTTGCTATTTGGGAAGGAGAACTCTGTAGCTGTTAGATGTGGAATACAGACAGATCCTGGCAGGACATCATAATGCCCATGAGCCTTGTTAGGACATGAGATCTGATTGTATCTCTGCACGAAGTGAGTTGGCCATACTGATGGTCTTCAGCTGTCTGTCAAAAATGAAAAACATAAGAAACATGGCAGGTCTGCTCTGATTTCACTTTGATAAGTGTATCATCTAGAAAAACATGGAGGAAAATTCTCTTGTAAGACTCATACACACAGAGAAACACACACATATACGCTAAACACTTCAAACTACTCCCAAAATCTGAAGTCTTCTGGAACAAACAAAAAGGGCAGAGCTTGCAGCACAAAACCACAACACTACTGTTACCAGAATGACAGAAACAAGCAAGGTCCTCAGGACACCCATGAGTAGCACCAAAGAAATATACAAGAGACCATCAGTCTGAGGTTCACAACTCTTTCTAGAATGTCATCTTTTATGATATTTTAAAAACTGTTAATCAACTATTTATTTTTTCTGTAATTAATAATTTGATGAATGAAAAACAATCTCAATACCTCCATTCTTTTGATCCCACCAACACCTCTCCCTCCATAATAAGATGCATCTACTGTAGGCCACTTTTTTTTTGGCGTCCCATCTTCATCTTCTGATTCCTGAGGACAAGCAGAAAAAGGGTGGGTGGGAAGGAAAGAGAAAGTGACTGTCAGAGAAAAAGCTTGGGTTTGGTCAAGAAGCAGATAATCTGGGAACTTGGCTTTGCATGCCTATGTTTCATAACCTGGAAGAAAGCAGTGGACCTGTTTTTCAGGTTGCAGCTTCTTTTAAGAATATTTTTTTTAAAAGAGAGAAGTTTCTTGCCTTTGTCTATTTATCACAATAAAAGATCAATGGATCAATCCATTTGGATTCTAAAGAACAAAACTTTTCATTCTAGCTACAGATTCTGCTACCTTCCCAATATTCAGTATAAGAATACATATTAGTATATAATTAACATATCAGTAATTTTAGTACTATTAGTACTACATATACTTTTGTTCTCTATATGTTTCTTTCATCATAAAGAAACCATAGGAAGTGAGCCACAGGAATCTGGAACTGTACAATTCCCACAGTTTGGCCAGCATAAGGCCTGAAACTCATTACAGAGAAAAAAATTGAGGATACATTTTGAAATGAGATCTCTACATACTGCAGCCAAATCTAAATATTTAAATGGTGAAAAGTTATAAAGGTTTTTTTTTGTCAATTCCAATACATCAAATTTGGTTTGCACCATTTAAGTCTCATTTAATTGATTTCAATATGAGATTCCAAACTACACATTATTTTAGTAATATAGTTAGCATCTTATCTTAAAAAAATTCTTTATACTACAATAAAAGCAGTGGGGACATCATTTGAATTGGCTCCTAAGAGAGTTTTAACTCTTGGAGACTGGAAAGTTTACTCTTTTGCCTCCTGCTAGAGAGAGCTGCTGCCTCTCTAGATATTCACCTGGTATCCTGATTTGTGATGATCTGTAAATGCCAAAATCTACAATTCAGAAGGGGGATCAGATAACTTACTGCCTTCTACTGTTAGACCCATTTTTTCTAATGGTGTTTGCTATCTCCCCATGCAGTACAGCGGAATAATTCTATTTTTAGAACAGTTAGAGAAGGATGGAGTTATAGCCATCAGCCAATGAAGAGCTGTACCATCACAAGGACGGGAGGGAGGGAATCCACCTTGCCAAGATACAAATCTTGGAAGAATTTCAACCCAGCAAATCACTAAGATGCCTGTTAACCTAACTTGCTGCCTGCAAAACAAGCAACAAATTTTGCATCTAATTTTTTTCCGTGCTTCTAATAATATTGGGATTAGTTTATGATAAATATCAAATATCCTAAAACAGTGTATATTGAAATTTACATAAGAAAAGTAACTTAAGAGATAAAATAGTTCAAATGGACTTCTTCTTCTTTTTTTTTTTTTTACAGACAGAGAGAATCTCTATCCAACCAGCTTCAGAAACTCTTGGCTCCTTGAGCAATGAGATACTTACAGGATCTAGAGGAGGTGGAGGTGGAGGTTCCTTTATGACCTGAAACACAGACTGAAGTCACTGCCTGTATGAGTAAATGAGTAAAACTCTTTACTCATTAAAATATATTAAAATAATCTCCTACATTTTTTTCAGGAGAAGCAATGTTGCTTAAAGCTTCAATAGTTATTAATTATTGCAAACATGTCACCAATTGGCTCATCCACTCATTTTTTAACTTTCTATTACAGGTTGTGGACATGAAGTTTGTGTAGTTTTCTGATTTATACTACTATAACTACAGGAATCAAAATGCAAATGCAGTGATGAGAAATGTGTGCATCTATGATGTAAAATATGCACATGGGTCAGGAAACCTAAAACTTTCCAGATGTCTCAGAATAGAATTCCCATAATTGCTTTTCATTGGTCATTCTAGCTGGGGCTGATGGGAGTTGATTTAACTTCCTGAATGGCACCAGATTGTATACTCACGTGCAACAGTAACTCAACAATCTATCTCCATATTAAGGAATATAGCTTATTAAGCTATTAAGCTATGAAGTAAATGTTTTCATTTGTTTAACATACCGTGATTGTAAAAGTTCTAAGGAAAATAATAGCATAACCACTGATCATATCCGTTAACATAATATTTAAAAACATGGAAAATGTCTTAGCATCTTTTACTTCCAAAACACTTGACACAGTTCAGAAAATACTTCACTTTAATCCTTAAAAATGTACTAAAGGGTTATCCTTTGAAATTTTATAAAGCCTTCATATATACAAAGCTGCACTTAAAAGCTAAAGCAGAATGCTGAAAATGCTTTCATAACTTATGATCTTCAGATTTTAGTGGAGAGTTTTACACTGCACCTTTAAACTGTAAATATACTTAGTAGAATCAAAAACTTCTATTTAATAACCCATTAAATACTGGTACGTAGGAACATATTTTCTTACTTCTACCAATTATTACAAGGAGACTGAACATTTCAGCAATCTCGTGTCTTACTACCAGCAGTAACATTAACCCATGCCTATTGGCTTTTTTTTCCAAAGGGAAAAACTATTTCTGGGTAAAATGCCAAATTCTTGGAAGGATGCAAAATTACTCCTGATCCAGACAGAGATTAGGAGAGGTCCAAATAGGTTTTCATCAGCTACCTTGAGCAATGCAATATAACATTTATAATGCCAATGTGATAATTTATTGGAAGCAAGTCATTTATAAAAACCAATTATTAATTTTATTGGCTGATGCAACTCAGGGAAAAACCAAGGCAGCAATTCTGGATGCTGGAAAAGGTTTTGATTCAACAGAGTGAAATCATTTCAATGCAATAGTTAAAAAAATTATATAGTGGATTAATTTTATTTATCCAAATCCACACACTGAACTTCAGATAAGTGGCATTGCTCCTCAGGATAGACAACTTTTTTCCTTAAGGGGATTTAGTGGTTTGGGCAGTTTAGAGTTCTTTGCAGAAGCTTAATCCAGCTACTTTATCTCCCCTTTCTTCACTAAAGAGATTGTACTCCTAAAAGTAACTGATTTGCTGATAAATTTCATGAGTGTTAACTTGGTGGACTCTGCAGGAGTCAGAAAGGAGAAGAATTGGAAAATCAATAAAACATAGATTCCAGCTTTAGGCCACACCAGGATTAAACAGCTTTTATCTAATGAAAAAGAATCTGCAGCAGCCTTACCAGAAAGAATGCCTAGAAGTAGCCTGGCTCAAAACCAGCCCATTCAGGAACCAGCTCCCTTAGAATTCTCCAAAATAAACTGACCAGAAGTCCACTTACACAAGGAGCCAGTCAGCAGCCAGATTCAAAGACAGACCAATCAGGAACCGGTCCTCTTAGAATTTCTTCAAAATTAACCAATCATATGAGAAACCAACCAAGAACCAGCTTTCTTGGACTCCTGTGATGTGGACCAATCAGAGAACAGCTTCCCAGCTTCATATACAAGAGCCCAGTCAGCCCATTTCAATTGCCTGTGAGTTGCCAAGAGGTACATCACAAAGCAGCTCATTCTGCCTCTGAAGATGCTAGCCACAGCTGATGAAATGTAATGACAAAATAAAACTATACCGTGGCCATTCAGCCCCCAAACTCCACTGTTTCAAAAGAAGAAATTAGTAATGCCTAACTACCTCTTTTTGATTTAGCTTAGCTGTCCTGAATTAATTAGGGATGCTCTCTGGCCAGGGTTGCCAATGTTCATTGGTCCAAATCTTGCAATTTTAGAAGCTGCATATTTACCATTTATCCTGTTTTCATTTATTTAAAGGAAGTTCTATATTCACAGCATAGAAATTTTATTTATTAATTTGTTTAGATTGTTCTCAGGCTATACCTTAATTGTAGTTCCTGAAAAACAAGCTGAGCTTAAGCCATGGCTGTAAAACCAATTTAAAAATAAGTGAGCCTGCCTCAGAATGGAAAAAAGCTTCACTTCCTAAATGTTGGATATCAGTCTGCTGTCCAAAGGCCTTGAAACAAAAGAAGCAGCTGAAGATCCCTCTGACTGGGCAAGGTGCCTAAATTGACCCCTCTTCTGAGCTTTCAATATCCCTGTCAGCCAATGTCTGCTTTGAACACAACCGGCACTTACCAATGTGCAGCAGAGTGGCCAAAACCACCAAAGGAGTGTTAAAGCCAAAAGCAGGAACAGAATCAACAGTGCAATGAAAAGGATGGTCCCGTGAAGCTGGAAGGCAAGGGGAAGATTCAGAATCTAATTAGATACTTTTAATTAAAAGTATGGCCTTTGATGAAAGCTAGAGCTCCTCCAAAGTAAAGTAGGTCACAAAAGT